ACTGTTTTTTTTTAACAACATTAATAAATAGTTTTTTTAGTCTAAATAATATTCATAAAGTCAGGATCTTGATGGTATAAATGTAGAGGGTAGTCTGGAAGAACACATAGGCTATTTACTTTTTTAAATTTCACGCGGGCGTAGAGGCGGACGAAAGCTAGTGTCTTAATAAATTCTTATTAGTTCATACTTCTCAGTTGCTGACTGTACGTTCGGGCGCTATAAAAGAAATCGATAACAGCACTTCACACACTTACGGTGGCTTAATCGATTACTCGCAGTTAAAGATAGTCTGACAGTGGCCTAAAAAGGCACAATATCCGTGCGACCAATACTCGACTTATAATCCTACGTTGGGTTACGAAATCTGACGGCTGAGAACTCAATAACGGCCGAATAGTGAGACGACATTTAAATAATGATAGACACGGTTAAACGTATTGCATTATTTAGATGTTTACAAGATTGTACAGCGCTTACGAAGTGTTTTAGAATCGTTTAAGTATTCCGCCTTATGGGTCTTACTTTTTTATGTTCAAAGGGTATCATTTTAAAGTTTGTTTTTTTTTTTTAAGTAAAATAAATGTCACTATTTTGAGTCTAAATATTATGGTATCTATCTACATTTTATTTATCTTATAGATAAATAAAATTGATCATATAAGTTACTTGCGGATAAAATAGTTTTTTTTAGCTTTATAACATTTTTTAAATTAGTCCAAAAATTAGTTACAAACACACGGACAAATTCTTACAAGATTAAAAGCAGATCAACTAATAAGTTCCCTTAGATGTTTTATTTTAATTATAATGTTTTAAAACTACCGAATTTGTTAACCTCCTTGAAAGCTTTAAAAAAATAAAATAAAAAACAAACCAAACTTCGTTAAAGTACATTCTGTTTTATTGATATAGTAGTCGCTTCACAGCTACGCTCAAGTTTCCTATCTGTTAACAGTTTATTTAAGAGAATATCTTCATGTATTTTATTCCAGAGTAATAAGGTTCATTATCCTATAGCATTTAGTAATGTTTGATTTCGGCTTTATTTGGTCTTAACACTGGCCGCGAAACCAAAAATTGTTTCTTTTATGTTGTAACGGTGTTGCCACATTCATAAACATTACAGAACTACCGTATTTCATTTAGTTTCAATCTTGTTTGATTTATTTATAACTGTACGGAATTTACTTGATTGACTCGTCTAGTTATCTTAGAGTTTTATACAAAGTTTCTAAGGGGCGAATTGTAAAACGAATCTTTAACTCGTAAGCGCCGCTTACAAATTGACAGATGTCAAATTTTTAATCGAATTTGAAGTTCTTTGCCTTATCAGTTAGGTTCTGTTTTATATTTAAATGGTTCAATATTCATCAGAAAGTTTTATTTACTCTCAATTATATTATTATTTCAAAGAAATCTCAATATAAGGTGACACAATTCAGTTATTTTAGAAGACATATAGAAACACCAGCTGTTGCCCGCGACTTCGTCCGCGTGGTATTAGAAAACATACGAACTATATAAATTACAAAAAGCTACGTATCCCTCGGGAACCGGACATTTCTCTGGGAAGAAGCTTATCTCATGTGTACTCCAGACTTTGTTTTATATCTGTGCCAAATTTCAATAAGATATGTTGAACCGTTGCAGAATGATCGAGTGAACATTAAAAAACTAAATTAATGAATCCCACGGGAACCGTAACTATTCCCGGGATAAAAAGTAGCCTATGTGTTCTTCCAGACTATGCTATAAACCTGTGCAAAATTTCATGGAGATCCGTTCAGCCGTTTAGGCTACAAACACTAACAAACATCCATCCATCCATCCATCTAAACTTTCGCATTTATAATATAAGTAAGAATAGTAAAATTTAACACATGAAGGCGTCACATTATGCGACTTATCAACGAATCATCGTTTTTTAACCTTCAAAATCAGCATGTTACGCCCACACAATAGATTTACATCTGTGTAAATGTGCCATAAAATCATGCGTTACTTAAACAAAATATCTATACAAACTAGATTTATAAATCATATCAGTAGATAAACGTTATAAAATCAACGTAGATGACTCTATGGTTATAAACATAAACTCGATTAACGAACATTAAAAAGGAAGAGAAGGGGGAAAGGAAGGAGGGACTGAGAAAGTAATACAAGGAAGAAAGAAAGAAACAGAGGAGGAATTAAGATAGAAATTGAAGAGAGAAAGGTGGGAGAAAGAGAGATAAATTGAAGTATTAATTTGACCACCAATGGAAAATTACATAAATTTATTGCCGGTAAAAGAACTAACAATACAATTCAAAAACCATAACAAACATACAGTTCCATCAAGTAATAATAATACATTACAGCATTCCAGCTAATTTTTTCTAAAACACACGTACATATTTTAAGTTTGGAGTAAACGTAAGACTTATGATCCCTGCCCTTTGAACCCGACGGCCTCATGCTGGTTTCACACGAGGGTAGAATACGGACGCAGAGCAGTAGACATTGCAGTACTGCTATTGCTTAAAAACTTACTTAATATCGCGATTCAAATGTAAATTTATTTCGGGACTTTTCTCTGAGCTAGTGACATTATCTTAAGATACATGACTAATTTTTTTTAAAATGGCGCATGTATAGGTAAAGACCCATCCCTGATCTAAACGTTAATTAGTAATATCTGTAATGTCTTACTACACTTTCATACTGCTCTACAATATTCGTCCCTTGTGTGAAACCAGCGTAGCTATTAAATCCAACCAGTTTAATACCACCATTATAAAATTCTATACAAAATTGTACAGATCTAAATGACATATCAATTTGTACGAGCAGGGGTCACGCTGTTTGGTAGATAAGTAAATCAAATGCTTCATGTTTATCCAGTAACAAACCATGTCCTCCATTCACCTTACGAATTAAGATGGTCAGGACCAAAGATCAAGTAGAATACGATAAAAATGTAATAGAAATATAGGAAACCAATTTTAGGATGCATCCATTGTATAATTCTGTGGATGTTTTGATAATGTCAGCGCTAAAGCCTTTATGATTGAGGATTAGGAGCTGGCGCACACTTTTGACTAAACTATTGTGCGACTGTCGGTTGTTTCGCAGTCAATTCAACTGTTTAGCTACACAACTTGGAGGCCTAATTTAAGTCCCTTTACCACTTTATAAGGAGAGGATGGAAAGGGGAAGTAGATTTGACGGTAGAGGAGATGCATAGGAAGGGGAAATGTCCTCTTTATGTACATCTCCTCCTCCGTCGGATAAGAGTAGGCAACGCATCTGCGATCGCGGATGTCTATGGGCAACGGTCGCTTCGCCATTTTGGCGGATTCAGGTGGCCGATTGCTCGTTTGCCACCTTATGTTATAAAAAAAACAACTAAAAACCGATTAGTGTGCGCACGTAAAGCGTGCGGAACTAAAGCGCGACTAAACAGTTGTGCGATAGTTTAGTCAAAGGTGTGCTCTAATGGTTCAGTTACTAAGACTACTAACTTAAGGTAAAAATAAGTTATAGAAGAAATAAATCAGATCTGATATGGTCAAATAACTTCATTCAAGATGTGTTTTATATTTTTGGTCGTGGTTCAATGGTAGAAATGTTTACGTTAGTTTTGTTATTCACTCTACTCTTGAAAACTCTATGTCATACTTGAAAATACCGTCGACAACTTGATCTCTCTCTTAAAAATTTCTCTCTCTCTCTCTTTAGAATTTCCTAATCTCTTTTGTTTTAAAATATCTTTTATTAAAGTTACCTTATAGATTTCAATATTTTGATGTTTCTCAGAAAATGGCATTCTGGCGTGTGTGTTTACACAATCAATTATAAAGTTGTCTACCGTGACCCGAATCTAAAGCAAACCCTACTTCGTTTCTTGTTTACTTAAAAGATATAAGCATTTTGGAAAAGTAAACACGAAAGCACTGTCTTTAAATTTATCAACACACCGTTTTAATAGTTTCTCACAAATAACGGTTTTGAAAGACAAATAAATAACCATAGAATAGGATTTGTATAAAATAAACGCTTAAAATTGACGAAATACTGTTTTATAGACAGCGTAGAATTTAAAATACATAAAAAACCTAGCTTCGTAATCGTTAAGAAATTAATATAAGCGTTTTTTTAATATAAGGTAGCAAACGAGCAAGCGGCCACCTGAATCCACCGAAATGGAAAGCGACCGCTGCCCATACACATCCGCAAATGCAGATGCGTTGCCTACCCTTGATTGACGGAGGAGAAGACGCACATATAGAGGACATTTTTTATTCCTATGCGTATCCTCCACCATCAAATCCACTTTTCTACTACTAAAGGTACTAAAATTAGGCCTTCGGCATCTAAAACATCATTGAAATCTCTGATATAGATTTCTTAACAAACTTCAGTTATACGATTACACAATATTAGCACCAATGGTTGTATTAGAACTTCGTCTATCACTGGAGAAATTGAAAATTTCCGGTACAATCAGGTCGTATGAAGAATGCAAGTAGATTCCGGTTAGCTGATTAATGGTTAATTATTTTCTCACGTCTCAAATGATTATCGTTTAGAGAGCTGCAGTGAAATATTAGTAGATTCTACGACTTCTAATGTCTACTTCATTAGTTGATAAACGTAATAGAATGAGCTATTTGTTATCAGACGCAGCTTTGTTAAGAACTAAGTTTATGTCGTGTTGTTAAGTTGTTTTTATCTATTTGACGTCTTTGTCTCTAAGTAACTTATGCGTTTTCTTGACTTTGATCATATCGAAGTTATCGAAGTTTCGTAATAAATATTTATCACAATAATTTAGTTACCTTTGCTATTATTTCATCGCCCTCAGTATTGCGAATGTGTTTTGTAACAACAGTGTGTCCAATTATCGAGCGTGATTGCAAACCGACACCTACTCGTTGCCCTATCGGTTTCCAATCTAAACATTTTGCGAATCGATATTCTATTATTAATATGAAACCAATTGTTTGTTTCAGAGCGTGAGACGGCGCCGGCGCAACCTCAGTCCGTTTGCGGCTAAGTAAACCGAGATACGCGGGGCTGTCGCAAATCTTACTCGCATGGTGCAATACATCTAACATGCCTCACGTGGCCTTGGATCGATATCTGGCAGTGATTGAGTGATTCTTATGAGACTTATGATGTGCGAAAGGGGTGTGCGGCAAGGGACTGCGTAAGTGCCGTGTTGAGCGCGTGTCGGGCATGCGTGGCGAGCATGCTAGCCTCGCGGGGCGCTGATCAGTGACGGCGCCCGCGCGGTTGCCATGGGCGCGGCGCGTCATGCGCTCGCGGACGCGCCCCTTGCGGCTGCTGGTGGCGGCGCTCGCCCTGGCGTCCTGCGCCGCCGCGCCCGCACCCGCGCCCGCCCCCGCCGAGCCGCGCGCGCAGCGTTCCGCCAACCTCAGCCACATCACCGGCACCTCGCGTACCATACAAATGTTCCTCAAGAATCGATATCTCCAGCTATTACCCGATGGCACCGTCAACGGTACTACAGAAGACAAAGGCGTTTACAGTAAGTACTTGATACGCTTCACTTCACATGTCACATCTGAACTCACACTAAAAGTGTTCAAGAATCTGTTCAAAATGTACTAACTTACGCCCCGTTGGTACTTCTTAAAATTAACAATGATTTTTAAGTATTTTTGTAGGTCAATATCAAGCCTTATTCAAATTAATTAATATCTAAGATAGTCGTTAGTATTTATTAAGCAACATGAATCTATACTAAGGAATTGCTCTAAACCATTAACAACTAGTGCAATGCGTCACACGACAGCTCTATATCATTTTTTTTGCTGTATCTATGAACACGTGGAATATTAGCGAATGTTTTTTCACACGCTTTGTATATAGCTATTAACATTGTCGGTTATTTGCGGCAGACGGCATCTAGACGTAGCTCGTGCAAGCGTCCGAACTCACATGGACCTTGATACGTGACATTCGTCTGTGTTATTTATATTATTAAAACATTAGATTTGGGGAGTTTAATCAGACAAATAAGAGTTTTATTAAATGTGTAAACATTATTAACCATTAAACTTATTGTTTTCATTCCAAAAATAACTTAAGATAAGTAATATCTACGTTCTTGCATATCCTAACATTATTATTTTTTATTTTGTAGGTTACGAGTTCTCGACTTTGCTTGCTTTAAATTAAATATTTAGCCTATGTTTTTCACTGATAACGTAGCTTTTTAACGGTGAATGAATTTTTTAAATTGGTCCAGTAGTTTTGAGTTATTTTAATACATACAAAAATTAAAAATCTCTCCTCTATATAATACAAGCTTTTCCCCGCGACTCCGTCCGCGTGGAGTTAAAAAAAAAACAAAAGTTAGTAGCCTATGTGTACTTCCAGACTATCCTCTACCTCTATGCCAAATTTCATCGATATCCGTTCATTCCGTTCCGTTTCATCCGTTCAGTCCGTTCAGGTTAGAAACTCTAACACACATTCATCCATCCATCTAAACTTTCGCATTTATAAAATTTGTAAAAAATAGGATTGTCTAAATCCGTAGCTATTTTTATTAAAAATGCTCCGGCTCATGTCAAAATTATTGATTTGTTTTCGCCTTTCCAGCGATAGTTCCCACAAATTAACGGCAGCCGATTGGAAAAGCGTTACGTTTCGAAATCTAAATGGGACATTCTTCCGATTAGCGTCGGAACGTCGTTTAAACGCTTTATCTATGCTCTGTTAATTTCGTCACAGATTAACAACTTGACTTCTGTCAAATTTATTTTATCTGTATTTAGGAATGAACAACAGTTAATAAACTTTTATTAAACTATTGATTTGTCATCTTACTAATATTATAAATGTCAAGTTTAGATGAATGGATGGATGTTAGTGTTTGCCGCCTAAAAGGCTGATCGGTTTCGGATGATAGACATAAGTGTAGTGTAGAGCATAGTCTAGAAGAACACATAGGCTACTTACATATTTATTATTTCATCCCACGCGGATGGAGTCGCGGGAGACAGCTAGTGTTTAAATAACATACAATAGTTACAACGATAGCTAAACTGTATTGTTTTTTTTTTAAATAAATTACATGCACATGTGAGTTCAACCTATCGCGAATTTAACAACGACATAGATTATTACAGAATGATACAGAATAGACAACTAAATGATATGTTACAACAAACAATACGAAACAGTCTTAATCTATGCAGTAATTACATATTTCGTTGGCCGATAGTTCTAGCTGTCAAATTGTGATAATGAGTCAATAGTTCGCCCCCGGCCTAACAAGCGGTGGTTACTCGATTGCTATCGTGTAGTCCAACAAGGTTATGTGGCCCGTTGAGGGAACCGCAGTTATCTCTTTTAGTCCTGTCAAAAATCTATCAGAGACGTTGTCTACGGGGAATTTAAAATAAGCTTAAGTAAGGCGGTATGTTCTATATTTACGCTAAAAATCGAGATTCAATTTTATTTCTAACTTTAGAAAATAACATATAAAAACAAGACAAGCTACTGTCTAAGAAAGGTTTTGTTGCACATTTTTGACATCAGGGAGCTAATTGGTTATTGTAATATAGTTTCATTGATGATCACCGGGTCAAATAAGTTTGTTGGTCTATAAAACATTCCACTGCCCAATTCCATGTCATAGAAATTATCTTTTTGCCTCTGATGTATTTATTAAGTATATTCTTTGATGTGAATTAAGATATTAATAATGGTTTCAATGTGGAATGCCTCTAAGCATTGGATATCCTATTACCGGAGAATTGATTTGTTTTTTAATTGCTCTTTCTATTCTATCTTTTCATTATAATATTTAATTACGATGTAACCTTTATTTGTATAAATTAATTTCACTTTTTCTATGTGTTTTTTTAAACTTTCAACACTAGGCCTAGTATATTTCTAGGTTAAACGTTATGGCGTTATTTTTTTATGAGATTTTTATTAAATTTACTTAACGTAATGTTATGTTTCCTTAATATCGTAATATTGACCATTTTATCTGACATTTACGAGTAAAACACTTAGATATCTTTATCCGGTAAGCGGAATTAAGAAGTTGTAAAACAGGGTTTTGATGGGCCTCCTAAAGTAAGATACTACGTATGTTACTCTGGTAGGTTTTAGGGATCCGTAATGTTTCACGCAAAACCCTTTACCTCTCTAGAATATTTTTTACTAACTGTTCCCGTGCGACTTCATCCGCATAAAATTATGAAAATTTTATTTTATTTGTTTACATCTGTCAAATTATCAATTACAAATGTCAAAAAGATATATCATTATGACAACCTTGCTTCCTTGTTGGCAGCAACTTATGATCTCTTTCCCACATTAGGGTTTTAATCCAAAATATTTACCCCCTAAGTTTAATGCCGTGAAAATACATAGCCTAAAGCATGACGTAAGTGTAGGCTTTTTTATTAAATTAAAAATTATTCAAAAGTATGCTGTAATTGCTGACATCTTAGGCAACAAAGAAGTGTGTGTTACACTTTATTATAATAGTATAGATTTAATAAGTCTTTGTTATTAGAATAACAACCAATACTGGCTGGAGATTACCAGGGTTTTTCTTGAGTTGACCTTGAATTTGTAAAACTCGATTAAATCGGTAACTCTTGATAGAGGTGGATAGAGAACTTTTCTGTCTATCGTCAGTCATTAAGATTTAGTCGGTTTTTACAATATTTTTCTTTTATTTCACTGTAATTTTGCATGCTATTCTGTATAAAAGGTGCGACGCTAACAAACCACGTAAGCGGTTTGCTGGGAATATTGTAATATTTTAGAAATTAACAAATTATATACAACTAGCTGTGGCTCGCGTGAAATTAAAAAAATAATAAAAAGCGTAGCCTATGTTGCTCACTGTTAATGTAGCTTTTCAATGGTGAAAGAATTTTTTAAATTGACCTAGTAGTTTTTATTATTTCAACATACAAAAACATTTTTTTCCTCTTTATAATATTAGTATAGATGTACGGAACCCTATAAGTTTGGAGTACAGAATAAAATCATACAGTGGTACAAATTCAAGGAACTTTAAATTTTACATCCAGTTTAATTTAAATGCGAGTAGCGGTGTTAATCAAAAATTTTATGACCACCTTACAGGTTTCTTTAGATTAGCAAATACAGACCTCCCGCGTATTATTCGTGTAAGTTGTGTAACTATTAAAATAATTTAAATATTCATGATAAACAGAAAAGAGATGAAAATAAAATAACTAACTTTATTTGTCCTTGAACTATAATCAAAATGTTTTAATGTAATATCTCAAAAACTTTTAATGATTCCAATTTGGTAGAGTTCTGAAAGAACACGTATGCTACTTACTTTTTTTCTTTTAATAGTAATTTTAGTAAAGTCAGATTTATCAATTTGACTATGACATGGTCCTTCACCTCTTTAGTGATTACCGGTACTAAAGTTACAGTTCGATATTGACCACTTATATTTGTGCCAAAATTTCTCACGCTCTGCATTTTAAATGCGTGTAATTTGAGACTGATTACAGACCTCTTTGTACTTCCCGGTAGTCATTTCATCGTTAACAGTGGACCAGTTGTCGGCAAATTTTAATTTACCTTCCGAAATTACTGTATAAGTATAAATATCATACTATAATATCACTTCCAAAGTGTAGTCTTACATTTAAATACTGTATTAGAGATAACTCTGAGTGAGGCGTTTATTTTTTTTAATAATATATGGTGGCAAAAGAGCAAGCGGCCACCTGAATCCGAAATGGAAAGCGACCGCTCCCTATAAACATCCGCAATTGCAGATGCGTTACCTACCCTTAATTGACGGAGGAGACGCACATAAAGAGGACTTTTCCCCTTCCTATGCGTCTCCTCCACCGTCAAATCCACTTTTCCTTTCCATCTTTTCCTATTAGGCAAAGGGTGGAAAGGGAAGTTAACTAAAGTTAGGGCTTTCGGTACCACACTCATCAGCCGAAACGCGGAATGGCTTCCACATTACACCGGGCAAGCCGACCCATTCATGCAAAGATGTTAAAGCGGGCTCTACCACCGTTTCGTGAACACTTTTTTACCTACGCTCTGATTTTTAGAAGGTTTTAAGAAGTCTAAACTTCATTAAAAAACTTCTGTAAAATGTATTTATGGTCAACTGTCTATTTTATTAAATAAAATAACTCACAGTAAATTTTCACTGACGAAATCATGTAGATAATTCAATTTGTACCAGTTTCGACAATAGAAGTGTACTGTAGAATAACGGTTTTTTAACTAGACGTCCAGTAGTAAATAGTATACAGCTACAAATATCTCTAAACTAGCTCTTAAATCGATATTAAATCGATTTCGATTCAATCAATTGTGTTTGATATCTCAGCGCTTGATGGCTTGTGATCTAATTGCATTTTATCGATACGGTCTGTAAGAATCGATTGCGAAATACCAACAATGGTGTACTTAGCTTCGTTTGTTTAACTGTCAGACGGTTGTGAAATTGACCGGGATGTTCAAACGAGTATGGATTAAGACGTCTCT